CCCCCCCCCCCCCCCGGAACTGTGCGATATCCACGCAATGCGGAATGTGGATACGGATGACCAAATGCGGATAAATGAATAAAACGCGGATGAGAGAGTGAAACATGAATTTTATTTTTTTAGTTTACAAGTTGCAACACTTACAGACAATAGGCAAATTTAGAAAAGACGACTTAGCCCTAAAGACGACAAGGAAAACACGACGGCGCGGTTTCGATTTCAGAATTTTCAGTTCAAGATTCTCAGAGAGCTAAATTAGGTCGTAAAGAACTTGATTACAAATTTACAGTAATAAGGGACACGACCATTGTGGAGGGAGTCCGGTTTTTTTTCCAAATTTAAACACCGGAAATGTCATTTCTTGCGTTCTGAGCATCAGATTCTGTTCTCAAACCATGCAGGCCATATTTTAGACAAAAAGCAACACAAATACACACAATATTTACAATAACTAATAATTATTCAAACATACCTTGTTCTCCAGTGAATAATACAACATCAAAGGATACCTACACCAAAGGAGGACCTTACACTTACTTGCATACTACATCAGAGGAGGACCTTACACCTACTTGCACACGACATCAGAGGAGGACTTTACACCTACTCGCATACGACATCAGAGGAGGACCTTACACCTACTCGCATACGACATCAGAGGAGGACCTTACACCTACTTGCATAGGACCACAACTCCAGACGGTAGACCAGGGCAGGGCAAGTTACTTATGCCTGATGCAGTTCACACGCGATTCCCTACTGTATCACACATACCGCTATATTTCAGGAGATTGATGCCAGTGTTTAAGTTTCTACACCAGTAATCATAAAGCGCCTTGATGTAGAAAAATCTCCGTTCGGGACTGAGTAGATCGTACTCATTTCGATGTTTCAAATGCTCCGTAGGTCTTTTATGAGGTTGGGTTTTCGACCCAGTGACCAACCCTCCTCCTTTCTCATCCGGGCTTGGGACCGGCCATGGCGGAGTTAGGGAGCATCTTTCAACAAATGACGGCATTAGGGAAAATAGCGCTAGCAAGGAACATTGTTCACTGTAAATCATCTTGAAACAGCACGACCAAGGTAGTTAAGTAAATGTTCACTGCAAATCAACTTGAAACAGCAGGACCAGGGCAGTTAAGTAAATGTTCACTGTAAATCATCTTGAAGCAGCAGCACGAAGGAGAATAAGTAAATGTTCACTGTAAATCATCTTGAAACAGCGGCAAGAAAGAATTTAAGTCATGTTCACTGTAAATTATCTTCAAACAGCACCACGAAGAAAGTTAAGTAAATGTACATTGCATTGCCAATCATCTTGAAACAGCAGCACGAAGCCTGTTAATTAAATAAATGTTCACTGTAACTCATCTTAAAACAGCAGCACGAAGGAAGTTAAGTAAATGTTCACGGAAAATCATCTTCAAATAGCGGCACGAAGGTAGTTAAGTAAATGTTCACTGTAAATCATCTTGAAACAGCGGCAAAAGAAAAGTTAAGTAACTCTCTAAATTATCTTGAAACAGCACCACGAAGGAAGTTAAGTACATGTTCATTACAAATCATCTCGAAACAGCAGCACGAAGCCTGTTAAATAAATCACTGTAACTCATCTTGAAACAGCAGCACGAAGGAAGTTAAGTAAATGTTCACCGCAACTAATAATCTTCAAACAGCGTAGTTAGGTACCTAAGTAAATGTTCACTGTATATCATCTTGAAACAGCAGGACCAACTAGGTAGTTAAGTACACGTTCACTGTAAATCATCTTGAAACAGCAGCAATAACAAGGAAGTTAAGCAAATGTTCAATGTAAACCATCTTGAAACCGCGGCACGGAGGAAATTAAGTAAATGTTCACCCTAAATCATCTTTAAACAGCTGCAGGAAGGAAGTTAAACAAATGATCACCGTAAATCATATCAGTCGAAACAGCAGCACGAAGGAAGTTAATTAAGAAAATGTTCACTGTAAATCATCTTGAAACGGCAGCATGACGAAGCCGAAGATAAGTCAATGTTTACTGTAAACCATCTTGAAACAGCAGCACGAGGGAGGATAATTAGTAAATGTTCACTGTATATCATCTTTAAACAGCAGCACGCGAAGGAAGATAAGTAAATGTTCACTGTGAATCATTTTGAAACAGCAGAACGAAAGAAGATAAGTAAATGTTTACTGTATATCATCTTGAAACAGCAGAACGAAGGAGGATAAGTAAATGTTCACTGTAAATCATTTTGAGACACCAGTACGAAGGAGGATAAGTAAATGTTCACCGTAGGTCATCTTCAGACAGCAGCACGATCGAAGGAGCATATGTAATGTTCCATTTTCAAACAGCAGAACGAACTGGAGAAAAATAAATATAATTCACTGCAGTAAATCATCTTCAAACAGCAGCACGAAGGAAATAAATTATATGTTGACTGTAAATCTTCTTGAAACAGCGGCAAAAAAGAAGTTAAGTAAATGTCCACTGTAAATTATCTTGAAACAGCACCACGAAGGAAATTAACTAAATGTTCATTGCAAATCATATCGAACCAGCAGCGCGAAGGCTGTTAAATAAAAGTTTACTGTAAATCATCTTGAAACAGCAGCACGATGGAAGATAAGTATTTGTTCACTGTTACGTAAATCATCTTGAAACAGCAGCATGAAGGAAGATAAAGTAAATGTTTACTGTATATCATCTTTAAACAGCAGCACGAAGGATGATAAGTAAATGTTCACTGTAAATCATCTTGAAACAGCAGTACGAAGGAAGAAGTAAATGTTTACTGTATATCATCTTTAAACAGCAGCACGAAGGAACATAAGTAAATGTTCACTGTAAATCATCCTTAAACAGCAGCACGAAGGCGGATATAAGTAGATGTTCACTGTAAATTATCTTCAAACAGCAGCACAAAGGAAGTAAAGTAAATGTTCATTGTAAATCATCTTGAAACAGCAGCTCAAAGAAAGTTGACTAAATGTTCACTGTAAATCATCTTGAAATTGCAATATCGTCTTGAAACAGCAGCACAAATGAAGTAAAGTAAATGCATGGCTAATGTAAATTATCTTGAAACAATAGCACGGAGGGAGGTAACTAAATTTTCACTGTATATCATCTTGAAACAGCAGCAAAAGGAAAGTTAATTAAATGTTCACTGTAAATCGTCTCAGCAGCACAAAAGACGTTAAGTAAATGTTCACTGAAAATCATCTTGGAACAACTCCACAAAGGGAGTTAACTAAATTTTCACTGAAAATCATCTTCAAACAGCAGCAAAAAGTGAGTTAATTAAATGTTTACTGTAAATCGTCCTTGAAACAGCAGCACGAAGGAAGTTAAGTAAATGTTCACTGGAAATCATTTTGAAATAGCAGCAAAAGGAAGTTAAATGTTTACTATAAATCATCTTGAAACAGTACCACAGAGGAAGTTATATTGGCTTAAATATTCACTGTGAATCATCTTGAAACAGCAGCAAAAAGAAAGTTAAGTAACTGTTTACTGTAAATCGTCTTGAAGCAGCAGCAAGAAGGAAGTTAGGTAAATGTTCACGGTTAATAATCTTCAAACAGCATCACGAAGGAGGATAAGTAAATGTTCACTGTAAATCATCTTGAAACAGCAGAACGAAGGAGGATGATAAGTAAATGTTCACTATAAATCATCTTGAAACAGCAGAACGAAGAACGTTAAGTAAATGTTCACTGTAAATCATCTTGAAACAGCAGAACGAAGGAGGATAAGTAAATGTTCACTGTAAATCATCTTGAAACAGCAGTACGAAGGAAGATAAGTAAATGTATACTGTATATCATCTTTAAACAGCAGCACGAAGTAAACGAAGGAAGATAAGCAATTGTTCACTGTAAATCATGTTGAAACAGCAGCACGAAGGAAGATAAGTAAATGTCCACTGGAAATCATTTTGAAACAGCAGCACGAAGGAAGATAAGTAAATGTTCATTGTGAATCATCTTGAAACAGCAGTATGATTGAAGGAAGATAAGTAAATGTTTACTGTGTATCATCTTTAAGCAGCAGCACGAAGGCGGATAAGTACTATATAGTAGATGTTCACTGTAAATCATCGTCAAACAGTAGCGCGAAGGAAGAAGAGCAAATGTTCACTGTAATTCATCTTCAAACAGCAGAACGAAGAAAATTAAATAAATGTTCACTGTACATCATCTTGAAACAGCAGCACGAAGTAAGTTAAGTAAATTTTCACTGTAAATCATCTTAAAACAGCAGCAACAAGGAAGTTAGGTGAATGTTTACTGGTCTGTATATCATCTTGAAACAGCAGAACGAAGGAAATTAAATAAATGTTCACTGTGAATCATCTTGAAACAGCAGTACGAAGTAAGTTAAGTAAATTTCCACTGTAAATTATCTTAAAACAACAGCACGATGTAGCGGTTATGTAAACGTTCACTGCATGTAAATCATCTTGAAACAGCAGAACGAAGGAAGTTAAGTAAAGTTGCACTGTGAAGAATCTTGAAACAGCAGAACGAAGGAAATTAAATATTAAATGTTCACTGTAAATAATCTTGAAACAGCAACATGAAGGAAGTTAAGTAAATGTTCACTGTAAATCATCTTATAGAAACAGCAGCACCAAGTAAGTTAGGTAAATGTTCACTGTAAATCATCTTGATTCTTGAAACAGCAGCACGAAGGAAGTTAAGAAAATGTTTGAACGTATCCTGTTGGCAACAGACTTGTTTCAAGAGTTTTCAAGTTCGATCCACTGCAGTGAGTATGAGACAGCGTGGCATGCGAGAGCATGAAATAGAGCTTGTCAACATTGGACACGTTGTAAAATGCCAAAATAATTTGTTTGGCTTGATAATCTGGTTAGGTTTCTGGTTGGTGTTGTTTATGCTTGTAGGGTCATCCATAATTAGACAATTTCAATTCTCTCCTCCCCCTCTCCCCTCATACGATTTAAGTATGAAACACACCCACATCAAACACACAAAAATCAAACGCACTGCATCACCCCCTCCCGTCCCCCTTCCTTCCCTGTCCCTACTTCCCGTCCCCCAACCCCCCATATCGCCCCCTACCTCCCACACACAAGCACACAACGTTCTAAGACACTGTACCACCCTCCCCCATCCCCCCGCCCATCCCTCCCCCTGCCCTTATACCAACCCTCAACCATCAAACTCGCACGCACATCACATAGTAGAGCAATTGACATTGTTAATAATTTAAGGATGACCCATGATCTTTTGTCATTTTTTTGTTTTGCTCAAGCTGTTCTGTTCTGTTTGAACAGAGACATTTATTGGAAATTGTATTGGTTTGGCTTACTTCTGTGCCCAATGTTTGAAAAACCCTATTTCAAAGCCCGAATGACGTCACCAGGCTCTTTAGGGCCGGTCTTCGCTTTTCCACTTCACTGGTATTCACCAGGTCTGGTCCTACTCCTCCCTGTAATAGAAGGCAACATTATAGCCAATTTACAGACGAGCAAATCGTCTTATGACAAAGTTTCATATGACAAGTTTTACTGTAGTAGACAACTTGCAATTTAAACTACTAATTTTTGATCTAGGCAAAAAAAGTATATTCCCATTGCTACGAAATGTTGCAAAGCTTGGAAAATAATACCTTGCGAATTTTCATATTTTACATTATACCCGAAAATGGATATTTTTGAGCCGAAAATGGCAACAATTTCAGCACATTAAACAAACATGATGAAACTTAGAAACATTTTTGGAAATGTCCAAGATTTACAATTAACATTTCGCAATTTACTAATAAAAAAAATTGTGTTCTTTTTTAGCTGTGGTGTTTGATTCCCTTCTCTTTACTTATAGATTAAAATTTTGTCTAGCATGCAAGTTGTCTATTCCATGTGTGCGTAGAACAAATTTTTTATGAAAAGTGGGGGGGGGGTTATAATAAATAATTTTAATCAGTTTGAAAGATGGGTACCCCTAAAACAAATGTACCCCCAAAACCATAAGCTTCATTTACAGTCATTAAGTAGAAGTTAACATGGCGGTTGACTAGTGATGTATACCATTTTAGGATATCTATAAGCTTTTGAAAATTTTTTGGCAAGACGAAACGCTTGGAAGAATTTTTTTCGCTCTATTATTACCAAAATGTGTTACTAGAAAATTAAAAAAACGGACCCATTGGTATAATCTGAAACTTTAAAACTAAGTTTGCAAAATATAATTGTTATTAACTTTTTGGGCGTTTGTTTAGTCGTAAAACCTTGTATAGTGTTATAACATTTCAAACAAAGTTTCATGCATGTGGGTTTTGGGGTACGTAGAGTTAAAAACACGCAATTTCACCAGGTCATATCTTTTACAACAATTACAAGCAATAAATGCATGAGAGCTGTCAGGAAGAACTCACTTTATAGGCAAGTTTACTTGAATACAAAAGCATGATAGCGATGCGCTTTTTGTCTGGTTTTTGGGGTACATATATACCTGTTTGACCATTATCAAGAACTGTTCCGCAATAATAAGGTATTTGATTTAGTAAATATGAATTTTTCTGAACACTAATTACCCCTTCGACGATGCTCCGGACGTATTCAATGACAAAGATGCCACAGTCGTTCGAGTTTCTCTGTTTGGCAACCTGTGATTAAAAGACAGAACATTTATTGACCTATACATAAAGATGATGACAGTAGAAAAAAGCAAGTATTTCGATTCATACGAACACGAGCAAAATATTGCACTCAAACGTACGTAATATGAGCAAATTTACTATAATTTTTGAGTAATGCGAAACTTAGATTTGGAATTCATCAAAGGGAAAATGTGCTCATCAATTTGGCCCGCTGACCATGACCTGTTGGTGGATTATTTACTTAGATTTTTAAGACAAAATGTATCTGTCTTTCAAGTGATGTATTATCCCAGCGGGCAAAAAGACGTTTATTCATGCAATGTTGAATCAACGTCGGAATATTGAAATTGATCTTGCAGACGTTGGTTAGACGTTGATAAAGGATTGAAAATGCAAATTAGATCGACGTTATTCTTTTGACGTTGAAACAACGTTGAGATTGAGTTGCCAATCTCGTTAACCATATTTTAACGTTGAATTCGCATTGAAACAACGTTGACATTACTTCACAAGTTGACGTCGTATAATCAACCATACATGAATGTTTATTCGACGTCTGTCAGCTACTGTTGAACCAACGTTTGTAGGCTAAAACAATTTACATCAGACCAACGTTGATATTAGGTTGTCAACGTCGCAACCTTAAATTTCTACCAAGTTTCAACGTTGAAGCAAGCTCGTGTGCCTAATGGGATGAAAACTTAAAACTATGAGTAAGAATTTTTAACATACGTCTGCATATATGGGCTGTGAAATTTCCGGAACATGAGGTGGCCACTGCTGCTGTTCGCGAACAAGTTGGAAATATCTGTTGGAAGAAACATATCGTAAATCATGAGAAAAACAGCGTGACGCAGACACTCTTATTATAGTGGCCACTTTTGAGTTGCAACTTCGTGCAACTGTTGACACGTCACAAATAGGTGGAAAACGCGAACGTAGGATATGCGAACACATGGACTTATCGCTCTTCATTCATTATTTTTTTACTACGCTATGTCCATCCATCTCGCAATAATTCAGTTTTTGAACTTTAGTTTAGTAAATTTCATGAGGGTGGAAAGGGGGGTATGAATCGTACGTTTCGCAATGAAAGTAATAGTAATGTCACAACAGCCTTTTAGAAGCCATGTCAAGTCCGTTTTGCGCATCAGTTCTGCTTATAACGAATGAGGACGGACAGATATCAACATTGTCCAAGTTTTGCATTTTCGAACCTGCTATACACATGCAAAACGTGCAGGGGCGGAGCGAAGACTATCCTTTTCGGGGGGTGCAAGACAACTTTTTGCCGACAAAAGGGCGTGGCTAGCACGTTGTTAGGGCGTGGTCAAAACGAACCGTATTCATTTTTAAGTGATGTATAACGATGAAATCCGAGT